CATTTCCTGGGGCATCACAATTCCAGAGGCTGCGTGCATTTCATGCCCTAAATCTATTGACTTTTGAACCTCATACAAAGCTGGGCGCAGCATTGGAGCTCAAAAAAGTTGCGGCACAGATTGCCTTTCTATGCAGGATACCTGCATAGCGTTAGGCTGCTAGGACAGGTTCTACAGGACAGGTACTACAAGTGGGGCGCTCGCTGAAACCTCCTCAAAAAACTTGCTCTGGTTATCCTTTCTAGTGGTCGCCCGAGGCCAGGTAAAGAATAGGTTGAAATACCAGGCAAAGGTTACAGAAAGTTTCACTGAGATCAACGATTTTCCAATTAAAAACAAGATATAGGGCACATGAAGGGAATGCCGTTGGCGTTGATCGTGGTAAAAAGATTTCGGGAGTACATCGTTAAACTGCGTACGTATCCTAGGAATTCATTAAAAGGCATTTCAATGCGAACACTGAAATGTCACATAACAACTTATGTTATCAGTCTGCTTATATCGCAAGTTAACAAGGAATTTAAAGCAAAGAAAACGCTAAGCAGATGCAACATATCGATATTAAAAACGTTTCAGAGTCCAGCTCCATCATCAGTTCGACAATCTTTTTAGTTTGTCGAACTGATGATGCAGCTGGACGTAGAAACGTTTTCAATATCGTTATGGTGAATTTGCTTGGCGTTTTCTTTGCTTCCACTTTCCTTGTCACATAACATTAAACTTATTTGCATTGATTGCTAAAGCATTGCCTCTTAGAACTCCTCAGGTGGGAATTTTAAGATTTGAACTAAATTCGCGCTATCGTTCATAAATTTGTCCGGGTAATGAACAGATAAGGTTTATGATATTTCACTCATGACCCTTGCCAATACAATTGAATTTCATTGATGCCATGAGAGTAGGGTTGAGATGTTCTTTCAACTAGTAGAACTTTGCTGCATGTACAAAGTATCAACATATCAAGTAACATAATTTAGTAACACTCAAGCCTTCCATTCAATGATGGATTCTTCTCAACAGTTTGAGCAAATAATGTTTCAAATGTGAATTTGACACTAACTACCGCCAACTTGTTGTGACTGCCGTATTCTGCATTACGAAGAACACTTTTAAAGCATTCGCTTGATATTATGCTTCCCGTGAACCTGAAATACTAAGGAAAGTTTTCCTAACGATTTCTCAGCCTTAAATTCTTTCGTAATAATGCAGTTAAAAAATTTAAATGCAAGACGGTCACTAGAAACTGCAGGCCGATTCAATCGCGCTCATTGCACTCCAGCGACGGCCGATGCCGCAGCTCCCGAGACCTGTTCGCGGTGATCCCTGGCGGGTAGGTTTTTATGTGGATAGTACGGAGGGCACTAGGCCCCCTTACCCATGGTCTACTTTTGAGTAGCTCAACTGCATAGACCGCATTGGACTGCAGCAGACCACACGTGGCTTTGTCCTAATGTAACAAATCTGGAAGGCTGCCGCCATCTTGCCATTATGTGTCATGGTCTCAATGCTTCGTGAGTATTAAAAGTCAACTTTATTTTCATCCTCAGCACTTCTATCATGCAACTTCTATTGCAATGAAAGATTTTATTCCAATTCTATTATGGTTTTACTAAATTCGATTTTTAAAGAATATTTTATGAATACTGTGTATATTTTTAACTGTGTTCCATGATGCAAGCCATGAACTTTGACATTACACTGCACGATAAGTTGCCTGAGCGATACCCACTTTTTATGTCTACTATCAATGTTGAGTTACTGAGGCTCATGCTTGACACAATACCCTGATATTCCAATGAATGCAGCGGCACGCAGATCATCAACTTTCGTCCGGCGGTCCATAATGGTATTGTTCAAGGATGTCGCCTGAATGCCTGCATGCATAATACAGTGTCGCTCGTGACATTGCCGACAACAAACCCACTCGATTATTCCCCTACCATTGTCGTTTTCCCTATCCTAATTTATTCATATTGTAATATATGGTTTGCGGCTATGATGGAGACATTGAGGCTAGCTGCCTCGTGACTGCAACACGAGATTGACTAGCAGATCGCGTTTCTACTGACAGCTTGCCTGCTGTGAATGGACTCGGGCGTACTGTGTTCAGGCAGCGAAAAAACGCCCCCTGCTAGACTGTCCTAGATCTGGGCTCGGCCAGACGGTTCATTTTGGGACACCGGATCTTTAACGTAAGCGTTGAAAGCATCATCTGTACTGCCGCGTACTGTATAGTTATGGCGGCTTGCAAAATTTAACCGGATAAATTGTGTTAATATCTTCACGTTTTGCAAAGCTCTATCTATCGCAATATGATCCACCTTTGCACAAATACATTCCGCGTTTTATGTTTCCAAATACAAATACATTCTTTACAACAATCATTCTTTACAACAATCTTTACAACAATCATTCTTACTTTGCACAAGTACATTCCGCGTTTTATGTTTCGATTCATCTAAAATGAAGCTCTCCACTATTAAAGCAATTGAAAATATTTTATATCGTACCGAATGTGTCCTCGTAATTTATATTTCCACGCTGAAATTAAAAGAGTAATTTTGAAGCTTCATACAAGTCGGAAGTTTTAAAAGTTTAATATAGAGGACAATGCACCCCACGCCGCTTGTCCCACTTGAGCTCCGTCTAGCGGCCCTTGCCTCGGTCCCTGGCGATGGAGGGAGGCGCTGCAGGTCAATCTTATAGCCTGACCATCAGGTTCTCTATTTACCGTGCACGAATGAATTACTTACGGTTACATAATTTATTTTGAGATATATGTTTGTGATATACTTTTGGATGAACTTTCTTAAAATAAATTGAAATATTTTTGAATCTTATGGTCTAAAACGATCTCTAATGTGATCGGTACGTTGATGTCGTCAATTGTGTCAAGTTATTTATTGACCATCCTTCACTTAAATTACGTGACAGATTTTATAAGTGTTTGCTTAATAGCATTGCTTGAAGCGTGGGTTCTGAATAATCCGGTTGGCCCAGTGGGTTCTCAATAATAAGGTCGACATCTAAATCATCCATTTATAAATGATGATTGACTTATGTGAGAAAAGTGGGCAGCCTGGATCTCAAAGTATGAGATATAAGGAGTATTGCGAAAATGAGCTTCTTACAAAATACCCGCAAGAGCAATGCAGCGTGCGCCGCCATGCACTCAGCTTGTTAACCTAGAACTCTTGCGACACGGAGTTTTGCAACACTGTACTCTCCCGAACATCTACTCGTTATTTTCTTATACTGAACGGCCACAACATGGCTTGAAAAATAAATGTAACGCAGTATGCAATAATGCACCACGATTGATTTTGAAACACCCTGCACGAATTTTACAGCTTAGGCAATACTACAAGCAGTGAACTACAATATTATATGCGGAAATACCGCGCACCAGACAGAAGAACACGAGTTCGCTTTCTTTTTCGTGAAGGACAACAGATGGTTCTTGCTTTTCCCACAATGACTGTCAACTTGGGGCACTCATGTCCGCGAAAATACAGTGCAATGGCGACAATACAATTGGAAGGAAGAATTTTGTAAAGGAATACAAGCGTAATGAATATCAATAAAGTGAGTAAAAAATCTTTGACTCAGAACACTCAAGTTGTAAGTGCATGCATTTCAAACCGTTACAATATATACCTCTTGAGCATTCAGTAGATGAAAAACTGGAAGGAAGACAAAATCTAAAAGTTATGTGTGCAGCAATTTTCCAATTTTAAATGCAGAAGATATTTTATTTTGTTATTGAAATACGTCACATTTTCGAATAAATACGCGTCCTATTCTGACTGCAGGTGACAGGTTTTCACATTCAGGTTTGTCAGATGGAATTTCTACCGCTAGGTCTTTATTGAAGACCGAGACTGGTTTTATTTATCTTTCACGGTATAATGTGTGCATTTGAAAACTCCTTACGTCTGAAAGGCAGAACCAATTATATTTTTATCCTATCATGGTTGTAAATAGAATGCACAATGAATAGAGTTTTGCACCTAGAAGTCTCAGCATCATTTTTTGGAATATGATTGACCAAATTACCAAACATAGGATGATCTCAGGGAAACTTTGACTTCTCTTTTACTGGACCATTAATGAAACTTGTGATATGAGTTTTTCTTTAATCATTTGAGATAAAACAAAGATTTTAGGTCAAATAGAATTTTCTTTTACTGGACAATTAATGAAACTTGTGACATGAGTTATCTATGAATCATTTGAATTAAAACAACGATTTTACGTCAAATAGAATTTTCTTTTACTGGACAATTAATAAAACTTGTGACATGAGTTATCCTTGAATCATTTGAATTAAAACAAAGATTTTAGGTCAAATAGAATTTTCTTTTACTGGACAATTAATGAAACTTGTGACATGAGTTTTTTCTTTAATCATTTGAATTAAAACAAAGATTTTAGGTCAAATATAAGTACTTATCTTGTTTTTATCGCTGAACGATGGAGGAAGATGCCGGTAACTCCCCTGCTTGAAGCTACCTTCTCCCGGAAAAAGTTTCCCTTTACCGAAGCAGGAAATACCTTCATCGCAGTCGAGCTCTGTGGAACACAAAAGAAACAACCGATGAATGATTATTAAGCACATATTTAATCATGAACGAATTTTGTGCACAATTTTTAAATTTCAGAGTCATGATTTGCTTGACACTTATCGAATATTAGTTAGATCTATGCCAAATGAATTCAAAATAGGCCTCAAATTTTTTAATTTATTTTAATCTAAAGATAAGATATAAGTCAATACTGATTTAAAAATAAGGAAAATTATTATTACCGTTGAATATGTTCATATTATGTATTCCTTATTGATGCCTCATTCTTATATTTTCTGTAGTTTGAAGAGGTCGATTATTGCATTCTGAAGCCGAGAATGTTTTGAATGGTCCTGATGCCGGAAATAAAATAAAAGTAGTCCTCAAGGCAAGTATTTAGCAGCTATACATGCATTAAGCTCTAGTGAAATCTAGATGACGAGTGTAGTGAAGCTAGAACGTTCACGGTAGACCCAGCGTCCAGTGGGAATGAATGGCTGCGTCGTCAATATAAAAGGTTCGTCATCAAACCTTTGTCTAATGCATATTCTAACTGCGAATCTTCAATTAAAACTCCGCGCCGCAAAATTGTTTTAAAACTTTTTATGTTTATTTAGTGATGGTTTGATTTTTTTCACTTAATTTATGAAATTTTAGGATGATTGCCATGAGTCTCACAATTTAAATATCGACGAGATCACGAGATCATATTCACTGGATTATTTATTCAAACTCTTTACCTAACATTATGTTAAGATAATGTTGCTGATAACATCTCATAATACCTGTCTTCCTCAATTATAATGCAGTTTGGAGGTAAATTCTTCATCGAGTATAGTCCTGCACCGCCGCAAAAGACTGCTGTACTTCACCCCTGATAGACGCCTCACATTTCCCCCTGGGGCGATACTGGCGCTCACCCCCACCTTGAAACTCCCCTTCTGGAGGAACATGCCCACTGGCTATGGCACCGGCGTGACCATCTCGATTCCCTTCACTCGTGAGTTGACAGGGCGATCTTCCGAAATTTAATATATCCGAAACGAAATGTGTTGAAATTTTAACTAAAGTATTATTTAATTTGAATCAAAATATGATGATAAGTGAACCGAAATTTGATCAATTGTTAACAGTAGTTTGACTAAAAAAGATGAAATTTGATAAATTGTGAACAGTACCTTGATTTTAAAAATGGGACACGAGTTTATAGGTCTAATTCGTTGCTATCACGAAGTAAGTGGAGCTAATTTCCCTTTTAAAAATGGTTGAAAGACTGGATCAAAATAGCATGTCAATTTATGATTATTGCAGTTAATACGAACTAAAAATGTCACTTCTTGAATGAGGGAGACTTTAAAATTCATGCTCTTATAAAAAAAGAGTAGTAATTTGACACTGACGATTTGATCGGCCATAAAGACCGACGACATAAAGCCATCCATAAAACCGTTTTTCATCTCAAAGTGAACTTCGACACCCTCGGTTGGACGGACGAGCTGAACCCATTTGGCCTTTATCCTTCTATCTTCAGGCGTAAGCGCGGTCTCGACCCTCCTGCCTTCGGCTCCACGTGAGTTTCATCGTAAAACAACAACTTGTATCTAATTATATATCTTGGTTTCTTGGTTTACCTAGGGAGAAATATATGTATCTAGAATATCAGCAGTATGTTGAAAACTTAGGGCTATTGTTGCAAATTATTTTTCTTGCTTATGAAAGGTACAACTTTATTTATTTTGAAAACCTTTCGATGCACCTGTATTGAGAAATGTTTGTAACGTTAATTATATATCATACCGAATAACGTCTACTATATGTTTTTATTGGCTGCACGAACTGGAAGTTTGAAATTTGAAGGTAAAAACTACTAATAATAATCAATAATCCCAACAAAGATTTAATGTTCACCGACTTGACCTGCGGTCTCAGAGCCGCGATATACGGGCTGGTGGCCGAGGTATTAGACAACCTCGGGTACCCGGGCGAGCTTTGTCTGTTGAGGGCCGTGTGCGAGATGCGGGAGGGGCCGCTGGCTGAATCATACGGCTGGATCAAGGACATGCTAGAGTGGGCCTTGACGTAAGTAATTAGCTTCTGTTATTTACACTATAATAATTATCCTATTCCCTTCACTCGTGAGTTGACAGGGCGACCTTCCGAAATTTAATATATATCCGAAACGAAATGTGCTAAAATTTGAACTAAAGTATGATTTAATTTGAACCAAACTATGATGAAAATTTAACCGAAATTTCATTAATTGTGAACAGTAGTTTGATTGAAATGATGAAATTTGATTAATTGTGAACAGTAGTTTGATTTTAAAAATGGGACACGAGTTCATAGGTCTAAGTCGTTGCTATTACGCAGTAAGTGGAGCTAATTTCCCTTTTAGAATGGTTGAAAGACTGAATCAAAATAGCGTGTCAACTTACGATTATTGCAGTTAATTCGAACTAAAAATATCACTTCTTGAATGAGGGAGACTATAAAATTCACGCTCTTATAAAAAATAGTAATAATTTGACACTGACCATTTTATTAGCCATAAAGACTCCATGAAACCGTTTTTCATCTCAAAGTGAACTTCGACACCCTCGGTTGGACGGACGAGCTGAACCCATTTGGCCTTTATCCTTCTATCTTCAGGCGCAAGCGCGGTCTCGACCCTCCAGCTTTCGGCTCCACGTAAGTTTCATCCTTCTATCTTCATGTCATCCTTCTGTCATCCTTCATGTCATCCTCGTCATGTCATCCACATGTCATCCTCCTTGCTCCACGAATGTTTCATCCTTCTATCTTCAGGGGCAAGCGCGGTCTCGACCCTCCTGCCTTCGGCTCCACGTAAGTTTCGTCGTAAGACGACTACTTGTACAATTATACATACTACTAGACTACTTGTGCATACCACATACTAATTATTCAAGTAGACGACTACTTGACTAATTATACATCTTGGTTTCTTGAATTATACATCTTAGTTTCTTAATGTGTCTCTCGAATATCAGCAGGATGTTGAAAACTTAGGGCTATTGATGCAAATTATTTTCCTTGCTTATGAATGGCACAACTTTATTTATTTTGAAAACTTATTCATGCACCTGGATTGAGAAATATTAATTATATATCATACCGAATAACGGCTGCTATGTCTTTATTTGCTGCATGAACTGGAAGTTTGAAATTTGAAGGTAAAAATTACTAAAAATAATCAATAATCCCAATAAAGATTTAATGTTCTCTGATTTGACTTGCGGTCTCAGCGCCGCGATATACGGGCTGGTGGCCGAGGTATTAGACAACCTCGGGTACCCGGGCGAGCTTTGTCTGTTGAGGGCCGTGTGCGAGATGCGGGAGGGACCGCTCGCTGAATCATACGGCTGGATCAAGGACATGCTCGAGTGGGCCTTGACGTAAGTGATTACCTTTTATTATTTACATAAACATTATGAAAGGAGGACCGCTCGCTGAATCATACGGCTTGATCAAGGATATGCTCGAGTGGGTTTTGACTTAAGTAAAACTTACTTTTATTATGAAAATTTTTAATGAGACGAATCCGCTGGTCATTAATCGAACTTCTATAAACAAGCAAATCGTGCCATCTAATTTTAATTTTTATTATTTGTTATAATTTACCTTTTATTACGAATCTTGAATGAATTTGTTTAGTAAGCATCGTTAGCAGAAAAGGAGCCAAGGTTTTATTTATTACGTTATTATGAGAGACATTAAATTAAAGGATTATATGTGATTTGGCTATTCAAATATCGAGGTTATGAATTGTTTTCCATTTATGCTAGAGGTTGTATAATTTCCTGGCAGAATAAATAATTCATTAATCATACGCTATTCGCATCTCCTACATTTTTATACTTCCATGAAAAGTTTATTTTTTTTAACATTTCCCTCCACGACCTGGAAAAATACAGCGCATCGCCAGAAACTAAATAAAAACAGTATTTGATATTTTCTATCGCAGCCCTTCCATGAACTCTAAGTCCTCTAAAGGACTCGAGAAATATTACAAGGCGGAGAAACTCGGTCGTACCCTGGACTGCTCGCGCTACTCGAACTGCTCCCTTGCAATCTTTACAAGTGCTGCTGCTGATAGAGGGTGAGTTCGCTCAACATTACGATTATTATGAAATGTTTTCTGTAAAATTATTTCTTTTATTTGAGTTGTATTTACATGGCTAATGATGACATTTGCTAAAGGCCAACATAGTCGAATCAAAGCTAACAATCATTAACTTAGGTATTGTTTCGTCTATATGAGAACTTTGTGAAGTATCTTACACTTGTGAACATCGTTTGTGCATAAATTTGCGCTTTTTTAATATCAACCTCTAAACTGACCTTATTACTATTAAATATTTCAACAGAAATGTTATTCCGCTGTGAAATACATAAAATTATCGTAAAGTGTACAAACTGAGCATAATTCCAAAAGTAAAAATTTTGGAGTTTGATCAGTCCCCGCTCAAACTCTGAGTGACGTGACCAGGAATGGTTTTCTTTGAACAGAGGGTCCAGCGAGTATAGAAAACATCGGAAGAAACCAGTGCCAGAAGAGTTAACAAATGTCATAAAGGCATCAGAAGAAGGCAAAGTGCTTAGCAAACAAGAGAAGCTCAGATATAAAACGCTCAACAAAAAGATGCTTCACGAAGAAAATATGAAGGAAGAACACATGCCTGGTGAAGAGGACTTTGTGAAGTCGAGAACACCGAGCAAGCAAGCGTTCTACGAAATTTCCCAGGAAAAAATTACCGTGAACACGTTTGCAGAGAAGTTGAAACAACAAAGAATGATGGAAAAAATACAAGCCATAGCCATGATGCAGGCCTTTAAAAAAGTCATTAGATAATGGTTAAGTATACATTCAAGTACAGAATAGTTATCCGTTGGAGTGACTGCGCCTCCAGTAGTCTACGCTGATCACCGGTGCAAGAAAAGTTCCTGTAAGCTATTCTCACGAGGCCATCTTTTCTTCTTTTTGAAAATGTGACTATTGGTTGTCAAAGCATAAGAGTCAGTCCAAGTGCGACCATTTATTTAGTCGTCATTTTGGTACAGCATTTAGTTATGCAGCTTTGACTTTCAAGCCATGAATTTACTTGTATGAAGAAAAGTTGTTAGCCTACATAATAATGTTTGGTGAGATCGAGTGGTAAATGTTTAGTGAGACCTTGTAGATCCACGAACGGTGTTGAAAGTTTGAACAGCTAATTCTACTACGTACTAACCAGCTTACGAATACTCGTCTTACAGAACAAAATTAAGGTATTATTGGCACAATAACTTTTATTTTTTGTGAATTGCGTTTTCATCCTTCCTTAAAGCTTTAGTTGAATGTGGCTGAGGATGCGAGTCTCATTTTACCCGCTACAATTTTCCTACCTGGCCGATCTGCAAAGGCATTCCTTGAACGTGCATGCTAATTATTGATGGGTTAAGTAATGGCATTACGAATATTGTTACTTTAACAAGAAGAACTGTAAAGGCATTAATAAGTATTACCATTAAAGCGGCGGTGGTTGGTGCAGTTATTTTAGTGATTTGAATCTTTTACGGGTTAAATCACACAAACCTACCTTGATTTTATTAGGAAATGACATTATTATTTGTTTACCAAATGCGGATCTGCGTAATGTATGATGGAAGTACCAATGAACTTGTTATAATACGAGCACATATTTTAATGGTCTTCATATAAAATAAAAGAATAATGTGAACAAATTCAAGTTTTTTACACAGCTGTATTGAATTAAATATTTTTTTTCTCCTAAGCTTAAATTTCTTGCATGCCATTATTTAGGTTGATAAGAACTATTTGGCCGTTAATAATCAGCTATGTTTGTAATGAAGTATCCATCACTAACCATCGTTTACAATCAATCAGTTGCTCCATGGAAGAATTGAGCGTTGACCAGAATATTTAAATACCTATTTATTTTAATGTAAGATCTGTTGTTTACATTAAAGATCTTACATTACAGATCTTACCTGTTGTTTATGACCCACCTAATAAATCACGGAGATATTATGTCTTTTTTCTCGAAATAAAAAAAAAACCTTTTACGTTAGTTTTTCAGTATGTGCAACCTCAGTAAAACTTGGAAAAACATACAACGCAGTGATGAAATTTTAATTTACTGCTCAAATTATGGTCAATATTTGAGTGAAAATCATTTCTGAGAGATTATTAATAATATTTATATAAGAAGATAACGAGATAATTCCCAAGGTTAAGTTTTCCGATCTAGAATTAAAATTAGTTCAAAATACATAAATATATATTTCTTTTTTAATCACACCGGAAGGTTGTACGTCAAACATACTAACATTTTCAAACATTTAAATTAAAGAAATTTGTCAGTTTCGAATGTCTTGTTGATCATACAGTTCGTGACGGCAACTTCACAACGAATCCCTTATGAAAAATTAAACGATCAGCTTCGGAGGCACACGCATAACACGCACACATTTTACCACAGCCTTGTTTTCAATTGGTCACATGGGGAGAAGCAATTAACGGTCTTTAAACACATATGGTGCGCTAAACGCGCGTAAAGCCCCTGATTCACAACCGTCAGTTCTCAAACTAACTTGGTTTGTTTCTGTGCCATTTTTTTCAATAAAAAGATTCGTCCAACTCCACTCTTTAATGAGATTTCACTCTGATCTCATCAGTACTAGATTAATTTAAAGTCAGTGAAATGGCATTCAATCAAAGCTAGCAGCGCAGCTGCTAAGACACGTCAAGACCAGCTGCTTAATTTCTGTCGAATATTCGACACGTATATTTTTTTATCGTACAGTGATCAGCATCGCCTTCGTATAATAGTGATTGTGTATTCGGATCATGAGCTTCTATGAAGAATTGGATGCTGGGACGAACACCAAGCGTCAGGCAGTTCATATACTGCTTTAAATTTGTACAATAATAAAGTGGCGGGCGAGAGATCTTTGCCGACAGAGATACTTAGTAATTGCTAAAGTGAAAAATAAGAGGCTGCAGTGATGTTAACTATAGCAAAACGGCAGGTGATGGAAGAGTTTGCTTCAACAAGGTAAATAATTGTTCAAGACACAATTAAATTGATGGATGGAAATCAAGAAGTAAGTTGGATAGAATCAGTCCCAATGAGAAACTAGTGGTGAGCATAACGAATTAAAGATTCGCTAAATTAACAGTATGACCAATCATGAATCATCAGAAACTTGAATATCGGACTCGTCATAAATAATAAATTTCTCTGTTCGAAAGCGTCTATTAAACATATTTTGTTGGTATTTAGAATTATTAAACTATGTGCGTTTATTTTGGACTCACGATTATCACAGAATTAGAATCATCGAATTAAACTGAAGAATACGAGCTATAAATTAATGAGATGCTCTGTAAATCGAGAAACGCAACTTCTAAATCCTACAACTTTTTTATCACTAGCCACTGAACCTGTTGATGCCTGAACAACAGTCAACTGCCAGTTGATTAGCACGGACTGATTATAAAGAGGAATATTACTGCAGACGCAATCAAGTCTTCCATTCGCAAAGCTGACTTAATTTGATGCAGCCTCGAAGATGGTTTGTATTTGAGGCGGTTTGACACCAAATATTCGTTCACAAAATTAGCGGGAAAATAAGAGTAAATCAATATATTACATGTTGGAATTAAACGAAATAAATATTGATATAAATCATAGCGCCAAGACAGTGAATTTGACTATTTAAAAAACTGTTTGTTCTTACTATTAGCTTTAATACTTGATTTAATTGATTAAATTTCAAAAATTATTTGCAATTCATAAAAATTAGCATTTTCCACAATCATCATCTAACTTAATTGAAAATTGAATCCCTGAGATAATTTACAAAATTGGTCTCGAGATCGCACAATTCTTTCCGCTTTTGCTGATACGTAACGATATCTTTTTGTGTCTCTATCGTCTTACTCATCTTGCACCTGATGCAAAAAAACTTGTAAATAACAGTCCAAGTGGAAATTCCGGCCTGTATGCAGTCCCGTGCCGATTTTTTTTGTGTCCGTCAGAATTTCCGGTGAAACTCATAAGCAAGGCGCGGCCGCTCCTCTGATTTTTAACGATAAAATTTGACCTGTAGCCTCTCGGACGATGCATGAAGCACCAGCCCTAGGACAACTCTAACAACTTAGTCCACTTTCTGAGCGGAACAGCAAGGTTCCACAGAGACCTCACTGGATTGGTTAATAAAAACAGGATTTATCCAAGATACAATAAACAATATTCGAGAGCCACCTGCATTTCCCATCGTGAGTCATTGGCAAATTGTTTTTTGAGATTTTTCGAGTAAATTAGTCTTTTGCACACTAGTAGTTTTATCTCGAATAAGTTTTTGTTGAAGTAGATAATTAGGTATAGTGGTGTCATTTAAGGTTTTAATCATTCCCTCATCTCCGTTTAAAGCCGTATTATCTTTTGGGTGTTTATTGAGTTAAAAAAAAAAGAATTACGTTATTAGACACTTATTTCATGCATATTTAAAGCATAGGGTGAAAAAATAATAGTTAATTCCCGAGTTATGTTACGAGGGGTGTGCACGTATCATATCCTGAAACGCATTATAGGATCAGGACAGAAGCGGTGGCTCAGGTTTGAATGTCAAAGTTCAGTGAAAGCTGCCGCCCATCTCAAGTCATGTTCTCAGCGGGCAAAATTACCAAGTATTACGGCTGAGGCCTGTCCTGCTAGCCCCGATTATGCAGACCAGTTCAGTGCATTGTCCTACCCGAGAATGCGGCAAGAAACGGGCTGTTCTAACCGAGGCGCTCGAGCGAAACACTTCCAACTTATTGAGCTCAAGAGGTTCCGCAGGATTCTTGGAGCTGGTCCTCGAAATTATTGATTTTAAAGAATCAATTGATAATTTATACGACCTATCAGAGGGAATTAATCTTCAGTTAATAGAGAAATTTAGGAGTTTTAGTATGGAACAGAAATGACATAATAAATATCACAATCCTTATAAAAGGTGCACAGATAATTTTTAAATATAATATCATTTATTCAAAGTTTTTGATAGTATTTTAAGGTAAAACTGCTAAGGAATCACGTGCAATTTTTTTGGAATATATTATGGCAAAACTGCTAAGGAATCACGTGCAATTTTGCTTAAATTTAAATGAAATACAAGTATGAAACAAATAGCATGTAGAGAATCATTTTATAGGACATCTGAAATGTTCGGCTCACGCTGAATCTACAAGATAATTATAGATTAAATTCCACTGCTAGAATTGAACTGCATTCATTGTCCCATTTAAGATACCTGAAATATAATTCGTGCGTACATGGGAATTCAAGATAATTATTTACTTAATTATAGCATTCAGTGCCATACTTCAGGACACTTGAAATGGCGCCCTCACGCAGCCCTGCGCAGGAATGCGTGCAAAGGAGTGGTTGCAGCGCCCGGCCTCCGCTCCAGGGTCTGTCCTAGCAGATTCAGGTCACTTAATTCTTAGCTCTTAAATCTCACAGGCGACATTTGGGTGGCCTGCGGTTGAACGACCACGAATATCCTGCATGGGATACACGAACAATAATGGGCGCCGTGCAGCGCCCTGAAGGATACCAACAGGACTATCCTAGACAGCACCGTTAGTGACGACAATAAAGAATAATGTCAGGACCCTTAGAAATCATATTGAAGCTTTCGCTTTAGAAAGGACCTTGTTTCTGACTCAATGTTCGGCGAGTTAATACAACGCTCTTGTTGAAGTGCAGGCTCCTTTGTGCTCATACACTGGAGATGACACAAGGACTGAGCTTTTAAGTCTTAGAGAAACACGGTATTATCAACCGTATAAAAAATATTGCTCACAAGAGCAATAATGTGGCAAATACCGGCATAGACCCCTATCAAGAAATGGAACATAGGCGAGTCATTGAGGAACTTTCTCCGTAGTGCTGCCCCAGTGTTAAGGGAGTTAGTGATGGGCCATCAGTCGTAATTTATTGACTCCTCCTACAGGAAACTGATACAAGAGAGTGGAAGAAAAGCATTGCGTTGAAGCACGGACTGCGACCTGACCAAATCTTTAATTCATTGTATAGCCCATTTTTTAAATGGAATAAAATTGTCTGAAAACAACGGTTCGGTGTACAATGTGATCTCGGAAGATAAGGTTACGTCTTATAGCAGCTAAATTTGTCAATGCGCGATCATCTGTGTTAATTGAGGTTACTTTCGTAGTCGTATTTTATTGATGTTTCTAATGGTTGATGTTTCCAATAGTAACAAAATACCCGTAGAACTTTGCAAGTACGATGTTACTTTAAATTTTCAAAGTGGTCAAACATACTTTGCTGGCAATATCTGACTTTTAACAACTTCATTATCTAACTGAAAGACACTTTACGTCAACGTTATGTCAGCAGCACACGATGTCGGTCCCGACCGCTTGCTGCATCGTTGCGCCACAGTGTTGCCTTACCGGGGCGCTGTAAAATCCCTTACTCGTGGCGGAACCGATACCGGATTCACTAACAATACTCAGGAGCAAAATGAGGTTCAATGTTTTCGAATTTCAAGGTTAATATTCCTGATCGAAATGATAATTTGACGATAGTGGTTACGATTGAAATGTTGCCTTATGTCAGCAAAATGATTATTGAAAATTTTAGTTTAGGGGAAAAGAATACAGGAGGCTTACAATCGATGCTATACAAATCTAAATTGTAAGACTCGAGGATTTATGCTTAACACAAAACCTTTGCTGTAACATTTTTTGTAATAATTTTTTTCTGAACCCAAAACATTAGCTGAACACGCGAGGCTGAGATTTGAATTTTCTAGAAGGTATCCACAATGCATGCATGTACTGGCACGTTGAGGCTTGAGGAGTGTGCATCAGCGTCTGTCAGCAGCAACATCTTTGTACAGTGGAATTGATTAATTTTTTGGCAGAAAAGAATATAGTCAAAAGTTACCGCAAGGTGAAATACAAGAAGCTTTCTTCAGCACAGTCGTCCTCGAAGTAAGA